TCTTTTTGAAATTCTGTTGTTTTTTCCATTATCCAACGAATATTTGCAATTTAATCTCGAGTGCCTCTGCCTCTTCTAAATTCGGCTTGTACATCTGGTAATTTACGTTCCATATATTGTTGAATTCTGGGTTGCAATATCTTGAGTATTATTATGCTGGCGTGTGGAATAAGTGCAATGGTTCGGTAGTTTGAGCAGTCTTTAGCACTACCCTTTTTTGGTGTTGGTATATAAATTGTTCTTTGCCAGCCTTTTGGCCATTGTTGTGTTCTCCATATCTGTTGACACAGTGCAAGCATTACTTTAATTGCATCATCTTGCAGGACTTTTAGCAGTTCAATTGATATGTCGTCGACTTCAGAAGCCTTGTTTTTAGCAATGCTTTCTAGAGCCCATTTGACACCACTTTCCAAAATGTCTGGTTCTAGTTCTGTGGCCGTACCTTCGAATTTGTCCGTGATGCTGGAATCTTTCTTGTACAGTTCTTCAATATGTTCATGCCATCGCTTCTTTATATCTTATTTTTCGGTCAGATCTTTTCCGTGTTTGTCTTTTATCATATTCCATTTTGCTTGAAAGTTTCCTTTGATTTCACCAATTTTCTTGAAAAGATCTCTGGTTCTTCCCTTCCGGTTGTTCTCTGCGATTTCTTTGCATTGTTCGTTCAGGTATTTCTCCTTGTCTCTTTTTGCCATTCTCTGGAATTCGGCATTGAGTTGGAAGAATTTTATTCCATCTCCGTTACTTTTTGCTTTGCGCCGTTCTTCAGTCACTTTTAACGCCTCAGCAGACAGCTACTTCGCCTTCTTTTGTTTCTTGCTTTTCGGGATATTTTGGAGTGCTTCGTCTTTGATGATATCCCTAATTTCAGTCCAAAGTTCTTCGGGTATTCTGTCCACCAGGTCCAAACCATCAAATCTGTTCTTGATCTTCACTGTGTATTCGTGTGGTATGTTGGAAAGGTCATATCTTGATAGTCCGATGATTTTTCCTGTGTTCTTTAGTTTTATTTGGATTTTTGCAAGAAGTTCATGATCCGAGCCGCAGTCAGCACCAGGTCTTGTTTTTGATATTTGAATGGAGCTTCTCCATCTTTGGTTGCAAAGAATATAATCAATTTGGTTTCGATATTGTCCGCCTGGTGATGTCCATGTGCAGAGTCGTCGTTTAGGTTGTTGAAAGAAGGTGTTTGGTATGAGCATTGAGTTGTTCTGACAGAAGTCCACTAATCTATCTCCTGCTTCATTCCGTACGCCAAGTCCGAATTTCTCAGTTATTCCGGATGTTGTTGTGCTTCCAACTTTGGCGTTCCAGTCCCCCATGATGACTATGGCGTCTTTTCTAGGCGCTGTGACCAGGAGCTGTTGAAGATCGGCATAGAAATGTTCTATTTTCTTTTCCTTTGCATCTGTGGTTGGAGCATAAACTTGAATGACCGTGATGTTGATTGGCTTGCCTTGGAATCGAATTGAAATCATTCTGTTGTTCTTTGGATTGTATCTGAGCACCGATTTAGACCACACGTTGTTCACAATGATGGCCACACCATTTCTTCTTTGAGTTTCATGACCACAGTAAAATATCTGGTGTTCATCGGACGGGAAGTGGCCCATTCCAGTCTATTTTATTTCGCTGATCCCTAATATGTTGATGTTCAGTCTTGACATTTCTGCTTTAATCACGTCGAGTTTGCCTTGGTTCATTGTTCTAACATTCCATGTTCCAATTGTATGTAATTCCTTGCAGCATCGCACTTTCCTTTCGACCCTGGACACATCATTAGCTGGACGTCCTTTCGGCTTTGATCCAGCCACATCATCAATTCCATGGCTACTCGTACTGATACTTTGCTCTTCCCCAGTAGCTTTTTGAGTACCTTCCAACCTGAGGGGCTCATCTTCCGGTACTATGTTGAGATTGCTTTGGCTGTAACTGTCCATATTGGTTTTATTGGTAGAATTCTGGAGTGGGTTGCCATTTCCTTCTCCAGTGGATCGAATTTGGTCTGATCCCTCAGCTGTGATCTGTCAGTCATGGGTGACCCTTCTGGGAGTATGCTCTCCATACGGTATAGCTCGCAGCCGCCTTGGAATACACAAGCCCCTTCACTGCGGCAAGGTAACGATCCATGAAGGAGACAAGCACAATAATTGCACCCAATGAACGTTCATGAGAAGGAAACATGCACATGCTATTTGTAATATTAGTAGACATAATCTATTGCGATTAAGTATTTATATATTCAACACGACCGTGTGCTTCTCTAGACACTCCTTCTTTCACTTTATATACTGCCCTCTTTTGAACTACATTAGTACCCAATTACCTCTCTTTGCCGATTTCGACCATCAACGATTCTATGCAAAGAACAAATTCAAACAAAAGAAAGATTTTATTTCGGTCTGTAATATATACTTGCAAGATATTGACATCTTTCGAAAATTAAGTTTAGTATATCAGTGATCTATGTTCCATACTGAAAACTACACGAATTTATTCTTCATATTCTCATTAAATGAAGCATTGACAATTGAGCTGACATTTCTACATGCATCCTCACTATGAAATGAATGTATCCTGAAAATATAAGGTGAATCCATATTTGCATCTTTGAGCACAAGCACATACTATTTTTTAATAATCAATCAGTATACCAAATAAATTCATATCTTTGATAAGAAACAATCTTTTATCGTCAAACTCTGGGATCTTCATCAGTACCGACTGCCTTAGTACTGAGATAAATTTGAGCCGGATCAGAGCATATTCAGTCAAGATATCGAATATAGTAGTACAGTAGTAAATCAAAACTACTAATAGTAATAATCGTATATCTTGGCTCAGAAGACCTGGAAAACCGGACCCTTTTAGAGAATTTAATAGCTCATTAAGATCTATCGTTTGAGTACATCCTCGATCCAAAAGCGATTTGACCCCGGGATAAGTTCCCTCGTAAGATGCGTAAGTATGAACGTAAGTGATGATACAAATAAATTCGAAGTACCATGCTTCTGCATTGAACAGCAATCAAGGAGATGATGACCAACAATCTACAATCGAGACTACAGACGGAAAGACTACAAAGAATCGAAACAAGGAAGTAAGCATCTCAGTAGGAAAAGGAACCCCAGAAACAAAGCAATATGACAGGCTACTAACCGTAGCATCTTTTGACATTGAATTTTCTGTTCTGTTTAGATACAATTTCGACATAAAAATGTTTCTCTCTATTTGAACTCTATATTTCAATTGAAAATGGTGGACTCAAATTCGATTGTTTTGCAATGGGCTCCCTGCTCTTTTGCTATTCACATTGAAGAGATTATCGGAACTATGTATGTCGGTGGCACAATGATTATGGTAATTCCGAATGGTAATCTGGACTCAAAATATATCTGTCATCTTATTGAAAATCAGCAAATCACTTTTGCTTTTTTTCTGCCATCATCGATTAACTTTTTAAGTGATTATTTGCGTGGCTCACCGACCAGTCATCAGACGAGTATTCAAACATTAAGAACACTATGTTCGATCGGTAAGTACGCCTTCTTTATTGAGATGTGTAATTTGAATAGCGAGTTGGCTATAAAGAAAAATATCTTTATTTCAAGCACTTCTTTACTACCTCAAATATAGTTTTCTTAATCAAAGCTATTTTCACTCTAATTAATGTGTATTTTATTCCGACATCAGTACGACTTCACTTCATTCAATTTCGGAAGAGTTCGAAGTATATCAATATACTTGAATACGCTTCATCGTATTTCAACACGTAAAATATAGAATGAAATACATAAACGTGCTTCGAATTGTTCAAAAAATCAGTCCAATATAAGAAGTCGAGAA